CTCAGAGACGGCCCCAGGCACAGGAATAGGGGGAGGGAGGAGGGTGGGAAGGTGATAAGGCGACATTGGGCTGAACCGGAGAGAAATTGGACTGCAGTAGTGGGACGGATGGGTAATAGGACGAGAAGAGGGTTTGGGGGTTAACCGAGGTAGGGTATTGAGGCAGGGGAGGGGACGAAAGGGATGAGGGGAAATAGGTAAGGAATTGATGTGTCTAAACCGAGGAGAGAGTAGCATAATGAACAGGGTGAGAGGGAGGCCAAGTAAAATGGAGCGTATTAACCTTGGTGATATGAACCAAGTGCGGGGTCTAGGAGAGATAAGGGGCCAGCATGGAAGAGATAGAGTCAAGATCCGGGCGGGAGCAGTCTTAGGTTTGGGTAGTCACGATGCCTTGGGGGAGGAGGTTCCTGTCCATAGTGAGGGAATGACGAAGGTCAGTGGACTCCTCCGGGCTAATTGAAGGTGTGAGGATATCCAAGAGGCAACAGGGATGGTAGATTAGGGAAAGGAGTGGGTAAGAAGAGAGAGGCACCAGAGAGGAGGAAGATGGAAAGGCTGACAAGCCTTTTGGGGGAGGGGACAAAAAGCCAATGTCCCTTTCAAGAGGAGGGAGATTTGAGGAGGCACGTTCAGGACATAACCCTACAAAGGGGTGAGGTGGGAAGGAGGACCGGAGAGCGAAGGTTGAGAGAGAGGGTGATGTGGCCATGTCAGCTAAGGAGGGGGAAACCGAAGGCGACGTTGGTGACAGACGGAGAGGGGAAGGTTGCGCAGACGGCAAGTCTCTATGATCAAGAAGGCGGGGAGCTTCGAGATCTGGGGGAGTGGATACGAGACGTGACTCATCCGTGGGGTTAAGTGAGATGGACGGTAGGGGGCAGGGGTAAAAAGGAACAGTGATGTGGCCACATCACCAGAGGGGGAGTAGGCAATGGCAGCGCAGGTGACAGATGGCCAATAAAGGTTAGGGCGGGTGATGCTTGGCGGTGGACCACAGCCGAGGGAGGCAGAGCCTACGACGGGTGGGCAGGAGTTGATTGTTAAGGGAAAAGAAGCAGCGAAGGGGGCAGGAGGGCTGCGGAAGACGACGTTGTCGCAGGGTTATCATGGGATGTCAGTGGGCGCGTTGAAGCCTCAGACGACACGTGGCCCTGGGGAACTGTGGGGAGCGGCAAGGGTGGGTGCAAAGGAGGACGTGTAGGGGAGGCCCATGTCAGGCAGGGGAGGAGGGCGGGAACACTTTTGAAATGAGGAAAGGGACAAGAGGGGGGGGATTTTGAGAATGATGGGCCCGGGTCCTTAATGGGGCCCAAAGACAGATAGCAGGGTGGTGAAACACACTGGGCCTCCTTTCTAGGTCGACGAAAGAAGGTAGGTAAACGATCAGTAGGCAAGACAAGGAGGGCAGGCTTACTTTGGATCGAGTCGGGAGTATGCAGCGGTGTCGGAGGCGGAGGGAGCTAAAGGCCGTGGCGACGTACTTTACCAGCGGCCGGATCTGGAGGTTGACGACATCTCCTTTGCAAACGAGCTTTCTTAGAAATCAAAGTCCAAGGATCAGAGCAAGCATCCAGTGATTTAGCAGCGGTATCATTGTGGAGGAAATGAGGATAAGGAGAGGATGTCGGAGACCAGGAAGTCGAGACTGGAAAGTAAAGCTTGTCTACTTCAATCCATAAGGCTTAGGGAATGAGTTTGGGGTCCAAAACTTCCACCAGCACTCGTATTGCCCAGTGGGAGGGTTTCAATCAAAATCCAATGTATTGAGATCAGAGACCTACATGCTGCCGCAAGACGCCGAAAAGTCTCAGGAGACCATGCTTGGAGTGGGATATGGTTAAAGGTAAGCCACACCCTTTGTTCCCTAACCCACTTTGGGATACCAGGCCCGAAGGTGGCACTGAGCTCCATGGAAGGTGAAACTTTTGGTTTCCTGCAATGCGAGTTGGGCTTTAATCAATGAGGGGAAGGAAAAGAGGATATCGCCACTAGCTAGGAATTTGTAGTAAAGGTTGGGTTCCCCCCAATGTTGTTGAGCGGCCTTTTCAATCCCTCTAATATTATGGCGACCAGGTTGGAAGGTTCTGATTAAAGACGCGAGAAGCTTAGGCTTGTTTTTCACAATTTCTTTATGTGGGACGAAGATGCAAAAAGGGAGGAAGGGAGACTGTTCGATAGGACGAGGTTTACCAAGCGGTAGCAGAGAGGGGTTTGGAGAAATGATGGTGGCCGACTTGGTGGAGGCTACTACCTGAGAGTAAGAAGCCCTGTGAGGAGATGGGGTGGTGCAGTAGCCGCAGATTTAGGTGGTGGTGGAAGGATTCTGGGGTAAAGTTTGTAGATGTCATTCCAACATCTCGAAGGAGGAAGGGGACGGCGACGTGCCATTGAAAACAAGTATATGTATCACCTAGACCATCCATCTTAAAGATTTTCAAGTGTTTATAGATCTACTCCATCTACAGAATTTTTTGAGCTTTAAATTTAATAATTAGGAATGAAAGTAGAATTTCAGACCATAACAGGGCTTTTAGGCCCCTATACGACATCTTTCAACACAGTTTCGGGATGTGCCTTACTTTGAATGATTAGGTTGACACCCTATACAAGCAACACCCTTCCAATAATGTGGTTCAAACAAACAAAGCTTGATCATATAGCCACGTAAATCAATGATATTTTCTCTTGAAAAGTTAAAACCAATATACCTCGATTCAACTTAAGAAGAAGGATCTCGTGGAAAAACCTGTTGGAAGGCAATTCAAATCATATATCGAGAGCAGTCCCTTAAGGGTATCCAAGGTAGTCTGTAACAGAGTATTCCTTTGGATGTTGCAATGCCTACCTATAATACTGAGGCCACAGAAAGATATTTTCACTCATTTATTAGTGGGAGCCCCTCGATGCCCAGGGTTCCTCAAGGGAACTTAGGTCAGTTAGGACCCAATAATTCACCTTTAGTCTGCAGTCCACATTGCCTCATTTTCTTCATTTTCTATTTTTCTAAAATTTTGGACTATATTGAATGGAAGTTTTATGTCCTTTATGATCCTAAGGAACCGAACCATAGGAGCCTGCTATGAGAGGAGCCCAATAGAGGTGCCTCCTTGTGGTGGCTCTTGGTGCAAGGATGGCAATTTCACTGTGATGAAGTGGTCATTTAAGCAAAGCAAAAATGGCCGTATCAAAGTCAGCATGTTCGACTTGGACTTTATTTATCAGAATAAGCTCATTGACATTCCATGCAAGGGGTTGGCTCACCTAGCCGAACCATGTGGCTAGCCCTACTTGTCCAAGTTAGACAAATTTCTCATTTTCCAAGAATGGGATGAACATTTCTTGGATACCCACTCCTACACCCTCCAAAAACCAGTCTAAGAACATAGACCTATTCCTTTTGACACTTGTCATGGGTCCATTGGACAAAGACCTTTAAGGTTCAAACTATTGAGACCCAAGGAGCCAAAAAATCACAATCTGATTCCCCAATGGTGGGCCCCCTCGGTCCATGGATGGGCCAGTTTCTGCCTTCAGAGAAATGGCAACTGCTAAAAGGGTCTCTTTTGCCATTGGAGTAGACAACTCAAAAGAGGCCATCAACAGGGAGATTAATGACCTAGACATTGTAGAAGAATCTGGGGCCCTATCCCAGGAAGAAAAGGACAGGAGAATCCCAGCAAAAATCAAAATATCAAACAACCCATAGAAAGAGGAAGTCCTTGGTATCAACCATATAGGGTGAAAAAGCTGAATGCTGGGGACAAGAAAACTGTTTTTTCCATAAAAATTGCTAAATGTAGGCCATTGTTGCCATACTATAATCCAGATCAAAGGCCACGCCTCTATGACCAACCACATGAGGTGCAGTCTGCGATTATTGAGAGGTCGAAACACTAGATGGTGATGTCTTATTCCTCTCCTTGCCTAGAGAGTGGGCTGCTTGGCTTGAACACTCTTTTTCTAATATGGAAATTTGTTAGGCCACTAAGTACCTTAGCCAGGATAAGTCCCCATGCTTAGATGGCTACTTGTTGCTCTGTTCAATCATTTTTGGGACACCTTAAGTCTGGATTTCTTTGCCATCTTCAACGAATTCCATTAGAAGATAGTTGACATGCTAAGATGGAGGCGACCAACTAGCAACTTTTTGAGTGCTGGACCCCTCTTTTATTGTTTCTCCTTTTCTTGTATTCCCCAATTTTTGGTTTCGTTGACGCTTCTCACCCTTATTTTTCGATCTACAAAGCACCCGGTTTGTGGGTCATCAATTTGCCTCTTTGTACAGGTGTCACTTCTTACAAATATACAAAACATTAACGTTTCTTCCAAAAAAATAAATAAATAAAGAATAACATATTTCAAACAATAAGTTCCGATTTAGTGTTTTTGCACAAGGGAGCACACATAGAAAAATAGGTGGCTTAACTTAAGCAGCAAAAATGAAATTTCATGCCCATATATTGCCAATGAGAACGGAATTAATAAATGAAACAGGAATTTATTCAAGATCTTCAAATAGTGAATGAATCAAACACCACTTCATTTAAAAAGAAAAGAAAAGAAATAGCCATGTATTCAAGACCATCATGTAAATCTAAAGCCCATGGCTATCTTTTATTGGTGACTAGAAGAAATTGATTAATTCTCAAGCATGCTATTATTCCCAATTGAGTATAGGAGGCCTGTTACTTTTCTCAAACGAAGATAACTCCTGAACGCGAATTGCATGCAAACGAACCACATTTTTGCGTCAGACAAGGGAAAGATTCAACCATATATGTTCATAACATGATCCATAGTGAAGTAATTATGCACTGATTATTATTACTTTCCATTCTACCAGGGAAAATTCAAAATTATTAGACGATGATGCCAACTTGTATTCTGTTGTCAAAAAGGCATTTATAGAAATGCATCAGGGTGAGACAACTAAGGAATCATAGAATCTCCGAGAGAAAAAGAAAAACAAATTAAAATAGACATAAAAAGTCGAGCACCTCCAATGCAGACATAGCGGCAAACAAACTGAAATTCTCTCCATGGATGAGTTCTCCTTCTTTCAACTCTGTGTATCACATATTTAAGCATCCACATTGAAAAGATTAGTAATACAGATGAAAATTAAATACCCAATCTGGTGAAAATGAGATAATCAAAGATGATAATAACAAGGATCCCACCAATAGAATATAAAAGGATTTTACCAAAAGCTATCCTAAACATATCAATAAACTTCAGTTGGATGAATATACAGTACAGAGACCAGATTCATTCATGCTTACCTCTCCAATAAACCAACAAGAAAAAAAAAAATTAAGGGTCAGATCAAGGGTGAGGCAATCTGATTTCAGACAAATGCATTTCGTATATAATTGTCATAATTATGAAGAGTGTTAGCAAGTCATAGTTGAACAGAATTGGAACCAGGAATCCAACATATTTTGGCCTTTATGAACTTCAATATTCTGAGCACACACTCTTGCATTAATGAGGCCAAACAAGGAGACAGCTAAGTGTTGACAAAGGTCTTAACGGACACTTCAATATCTAAATCCAAACTAAACTACGATGAAACAAGTTGAAATTGCTGGAAGAGTAGAAGGAGGAGATTCTGAGGAGGTTTTAATTTGCTTCTCTATTACCCCATGAATAATGTTTGGAATGGGTATGGCTCGAGTGAATAGCAGCATAGGTTGATAGTCGGGGATTTCATCCATAAGACAAAGGTGGAAATGGTTTCGCCATAATATCTCGAGGATAGTTTCTCCTAAAGTAAAGGTCAACTTTTCCGTTTCAAAAGAGAGTATGGATGTTAAAACTTCTACTTGTACCATTAAGAGCATTTGGCTTTCTATTTCAAACAATTAAATAATGAGTTTCAAAACCTTCCATTAGCGCTGCTAAGAGCATCCATCAATTGTGATGGCTGTCAAGCAAGAGTGAAAAGGGTCATTTTCTTTTTAATTGTTACAAGAAGGGTGTTTTCTTTTTAATTGTTATAAAGGGTTCAGTTAGGCCAGATACCTATATCTGAGAGGACTTCTAAAGAGAATGCAGGGATATTGTGCCAAGGTGGGATTGAGAGGTGATGGCGTTAGGGACAAGAACTTGACAAAATCAGAAAGGTTATGTGATAAACTTTAAAATTTACAGATGTTACGATATTGTTACTGTAAAATATTATGTTTATTAAATATTATGTTTATCAACAGTATGTCTTTCTTAATACGTAAAAGAAATATTATCAATCTGAGTTCCAATTATTCTGAGTCTAGTCAGATGGATACAAAAGTAATCTCTTTCTGATAAACTTGTCTTTATCTTGACACTCAAAAAATGAATGTGTTAATCCAGTGGAGTCCATAAGGGCATGTTAACCTCTCCCAGCAGCTGATTGTGTAAAAGTCTCTTGAGACAACAAAATACAAGCTATCACCACAGCCGATTGCTATTAATGCACCTACTTGATGCTCTACCAGTGTTTCAATTCTACATGGCCTCCATGGCTTTAAACATTCGTTTATTTGCCACTTTGCTTTTACTGTCTCACTTCTTTCTACGCAGGAGCCCTCTAACAACAAGGAAGTGAAACATCAGAATTCGCTAAGAGTCAAGCTATGAAAGAGGAGATACATTCTTTTGAGCAAAATGATTCATGGGATCTGGAGAAGGCAAATGTTAAGGCTCGTGAGGGGTGTTTCAAATGATGAACTTTTGATGATGTCAAATATAAGGAACATCCAGTTGCCAAAGAATATACTCTGACATATGGTATTGACTACAAGGAGGCATTTGGTCCCAAAGCCAGTTACAAAGAATATACTCTGACATATGGTATTGACTACAAGGAGGCATTTGGTCCCAAAGCCAATTACACTGCATCATGAGTTTCTTTATTTGTAACTGTTAAAGGATTGTAGTTGGTCCTGAACTTCACTACTATACTTTGTTGTTGTAACTTTGTGTCAAATGTGACTCAAGAATGCCTTCCTTAATGGCATTCTATAAGATGAGATTTGTGGATCCAATCTTGGGATATGTTAATGATTCCTTCTTGGCCTGCTGACTTCAAAATAACACACAACTTGTGGTATCAAACAAGCTCCTCGATCTTGGTTTGGATGATACTAAGATATTTTGCTTTAAGGCAATTTAGCCAGTGCGATATCGATTCATCATTGTTTGTGAACACACTGGTGTTAGGATTGTTACGCTGTTAGTATACATTGATAATACTTTTATTACTAGTAATGATATGAAAAGCAAATGTAAAATGAAGTGAGTACTACAATATCAATTGCTGATGAAGGACATGGGTGTCCTCTCATATTTCTGGGGGCTTACGATTACTGGGGTTTCTAAAGAAATTACACTAAGTTGAGATAGAAGTATGACCGAGAACTTATTTTCAGAGTCATTTCAAAGACACTTTAGACCCTAAACCTAAACCAAGAATCAAGTTGACTCCCCAGCTGAGTTGATTATTAAAATCAACTTATCTGACCATGATGTAATGCACAAGAAGATCCATTGCTTGATTCAAAATAAGGTAGTTACATTAGAAACGCTTGCTGCATGCACAAAAAATATATATACAGCTACATTTTTTTTGGGGTAAGTCTATGTACAGCTACCTTCATCATGTTTTTCACCTTTGTTGGACATATTGATCCACAGTTACTGTTCAAGAATGAGATACTAGGCTGCAGAGCAGGCACTCTAATATTCTTATAGGTTTAGAAAGTTCGCTTATCCAATACTAGAGGATGAGAAAACCTGATGCCTTCTAAATCTTTCACTTAAGAAACAATGAACCACCATTCCATTGAATTCCTTTTACATGGAAATTGTGAAAGGAAAGTATATATTGTATATCCGGTTAATACAGAAGGTGTATATTGTAATCAGTAAATATGGGAAGGGTAGAATATTGTGTCCCGTATTTTATGGTAAGTTTGTGTATAGTTTAGGTGTCTATGATTTATTCCTAATTTTGTCAGCTGTATTTGTCATTTGATCTGTCCTCTCTGTCGAGTTGTGTTTGACCAGAGAGCAATCTGAGCATGACAACCATTGTTTCTACTGGTCACGCCATGCACCAGAACATCCTACTCGTTTCCGCAATTAGTGTTCAAACTATGTTCAAACTCCAGCAGCTTTCTTTCATAGCATCTTGAATTTGAGAGGGTGTGTGAAAGCAAAGTATATATTGTATATCTGATTAATATAGAAGGTGTATATTGTAATCAATAAATATGAGAAGGGTAGGATATTGTGTCCTATATTTTATGGTAAGTCTGGGTAGAGCATAGGTGTTTGTGATTTATTTCTAATTTTTTCATTTGTATTTTTCGTCTGATCTGTCATCTTTGTCGAGTGGCGTTTCGACTCTCTGATCTGTCCTCTCTGTCGAGTCGTGTTTTGACTCTCTGATTTGTTTGATCTTTTCGAAGAGTTCCTAAAGTCATCTGTTCTTGAGGCTTGTTGATTCGCTGCTGCTTTATGTGCATGTTGATCAAGCAATCTGAATATGCATCTGAAGATCCAATTGCTCGTTTCCGCGACTTGGTGTTCAAACTCCAGCTGCTCTCTTTCCTAACATGTTGAGTTTGAGGGGGAATGTGAAAGGAAAGTATATATTGCATATCCAGGGGGAATGTGAAAGGAAAGTATATATTGCATATCCAGTTAATATAGAAGGTGTATATTGTAATCAGTAAATATGGGAAGGGTAGGATATTGTGCCTTGTATTTTATGGTAGGTCTGTGTATAGTTTAGGTGTTTATGATTTAGTTTCTATTAGTGTCATTTGTAATTTGTCTATAAAAGACAAATCTGTATATTCATACCAATTAATGGACGCCGAGTCTCTTCAGAGAAACCTGAGACTCTTCACAGAAATCACATAAGAACAATCCTAATCACCAAAAAATGCTTCCAAGAGGAAATTCTCAACAAGCAAGGCAAGAACGAGTGATTTCTACTTTCTAGTTTTAGAGACAAATATATATTAAAAACAAAAAAAGATTAAAGAAAAAGACACACACACAAACAAACAAAATAGAGATAGAAGGCTAACAGTACAGTCATTAGAAGGAAGTATGAAAATTAACCAAAATTTCCAAAAGGAAACATAAGCTCCTTCTTCTCAACACTCTAAACATAGCGATTAATTTTCATTATATTAGAAAGATATAGTAAAGTATTCCAAGCAAGGACTTTGCAAATATATCAGCAAGTATATAATCCTTACTATGTCTTTCAAGCAAGGACTTTGCAAATATGTCAGCAAGCATATGATCCTAAAAAGAAGACTCAAGAGCAAAGGGAAAAAAAAAAAATCAAAAGAAAGATGAGAAAAATAACAGAGCATAAGCATAAGGATAAGAAAACCAAATTCTTTATTAGACCCAAAAAACCAAAAAAATAAATAAATAAATACTTACCATTACCGGCAGCTTCCAAGAGTGGGGAGACATCGACCCAAACTGACTGCTCTCCTGAGGAAATAGGAGAGGGGGGAATCCCATTGCTCTCCATCCCTCTTTCAAACCTGAAAAGTGTTCGAGGATTGTTATCAATAAGGGTTATACTTCTCCATGTGTGAACAGTCTGTGAAGGTTATGGAGAGCCCGCTCATCATAACATGCTCGACATTGAAGCCCAAGAAACCAATTGGACACTGCCGGTATAAATGAAGTCAGAGAGAGAGAACTGCTGGTACAAAGAGAGAGAACTTGGATACCGTGGAGAGGGAGAGAGGGGGAGAGAGAGATTGCAAATCTAAAGTCAGACTAGCTTGGAGCCTTGAACACACTAGCTTGGAGCCTTGAACGATCGTACGACCGCAAGGGCCAAAAAGAACTATAGCGTAGGCTGTGGGTGGCCCGGGCCCGAAGTTTTGCAAAAGGCCCATGCTTTTGTCAGGTCAAAAATGTATTTTTGGGCCCAGCCCAAAAATATTTTTATCAGGCCGCCCAGGCCCCGGTCCTGACCGAGTTTCAATTCAAAGTAAAATTGGCACAGAAAAAAAAAAAAAGGAAAATTAAAGAGAGGGAGTGGCCTTCTTGGTCACATGGACATACCTCGCATATCTAGAAGATCTCTCTATTTGATTTCTCCCGCCCCGGGACATTCGGGCTGAGGGGAGAAAGATAGACGTATGGTTGGGGCTTTTGCAATGGGAGAGAGAACCAAGGGAGGGGCTTTTGAGCTTTCGGACCGGGTTCACGCCGATTATAGCCCGACAATACCTAAAAGAGAATGGGCTTTCCGTTACTCGGCTCGAGGCTAGCCCGAAGCCAGAAATTTGACTGAATAGTAACCAAAACCCAGGCCCCAGCCCGAAGGCCACTGTCCCATCTGCACTGTTGGCAATCCTACATTTCTACTTTAGAGAGAGAGGAGTGCACTTTCTATAGTGAGTGTATGTTCTTAATTGAATAGGTTGGCATCTTCTCATTTAATTGTACAATGTTTAATGTACACCAGTGGTGTATAGTTTATTCATGGTATTATGCACCACTCGAGCATCCACCATTTGTTACTGGTGGCGAACAATAGAGACATATTCTTAGATGTCATTCAGTTCTATTGGGATGGTGCCGGCCCCGCTCCTGTACTGCATACCATACACAACTGTCATGGTAGCACTATTTTAGTTTTGGGCTAGCCTGCAGGCTGGCTGTCATAGTAGCACTGTCTTTTGTAGAATTGTATGCTATAAGATTATTTATACTTCGTATAAAGAAATCACAATCACTCATTATTGTCTCATCTGAAATTTGATAGCTTTGTTGCGTCATAAAATTCAAAATATTTTCTTTTAGATAATGAGTTCGATTAATAACACACCCTTAGCAACCCGATTTTGACACCCAATGATCATGCATGATGGCAACCTCCTGATATCAAAATGTGAATGGTCTTATTTTATACATTTTTAATTTATGATGATGAAAAATAAGTTTTTTCGTCAACCTATTTCTAATTAGGTAGTATCTATAAGTAGGGTACATTCAATGCTTGAATCTGACCCACTTATATGAGAATTTCCGGGTTGGGCTAGTTTGGGCACCAACGTCCCCACCACTCACTTGAAACTTTTTTTTGTAAGTATGTCAAGTTCAGATATTCAAGGTCCGAATCCATCTCACCCACTAAAATATTCTAAAAGCCAGTTTAGGTAACGAATGTCTGAAATCCAAACCTATCGCACGTAAACAAAATTACTAAGAGCCAATTCTAACATTAGGTATTTGTATCCCCCCACTAACAAAAATTTACAAAACCATCTAACAAGATGATTTTTGCGCCTCAAATTTCCAAAACAAACAAGAAAACCCTTGAATTACTACCTCTCTGTAAAAATATACAATTGCGTAGATGTGAAAAAAGATGAAGGCAATCGCATCCCTCCATAATTTGCTCCCATAAAAACCTTATGTACATGTACTTTGTTTTCTCTTGTCAGTACTGTCTCACCCAAATTTGCAGGATACCTGACATAAATTGTGTACACAATCATTCACTAACCTTCTCCAAAAAGAGAGATCTTATTAGGAAATCTCATTATTCATTGACATTGAAACACTTATTTATGTTTACAATGATAGCTTGAGCAGTGATTACAAATCTAGAACCTTCAAAAACCTTCAAAGCATTGATATTTATAGGCAAGGCTAAAGCAGCTGGACATAGAACCCAAAAGTTTCATTACATTGATTCTTCAGAAATTAAGGGAATTAACATTACAATGTTGCAATTTGACATTAAAAATTGCATAAACATCACCAATCTGATCAAATTAAAAAAAGGAGATCGAGCTCCTAGTGCAATGTGAGAAGGAAGCAGAGTGGCGGCGGTTGAAACCCAAGGCATTGACGCCTAAGGGCTCCGGGCCAACCTAGCTCAACTGGGTCAGATTCAAGATGCACAACCATTACGTGCTCGTAGGCCCAACCCTACAATAAGACATAAACGCAGGAATTAGGCAAGGCTTAGGGAAAAAAATGAAATTCGGTAAGAGTACCAAAATATAAAAATTAGGTAAGACTACCAAAATATAGATGTAGAAATTGCTTGAAGTAGAGTTGCTAAGCGACTAAGATCACCATCATCATCTTCAGAGCTTTTTCTCAACTATTTGCAGTCAACTATAGAAATCCCGATCTACCATTCTTCTCTATCTATGACCATACCCTCAATGCGACCATAAGTCTCATATGTTTTTGCTAAGCCGTTGAGATATAGGACATCAAAAAAAATCCACTGAAATATAGGGTGTGTAGATCCACAACCTTCGACAAGGCCCAATACAAAAACCCAAGGGCCGCAATATGCCTTGGGCACTTCCATGCCTGATTGAAATCCATGAAGAATTTAAGGAACATCATGGGCACTACTTTGGTTTACAAGTTGGCGAAATGGTTATGCCAACTATTTCATTCACAAAGCAAGCAAATAGACAAATTCCAAGAAAAATTACTTATTCAGTAACCGAATGATCCTAAAGGCAAATATTCCTTGTAGAAATAATAAGAAATGATTAATCAAGTCTTAAACATTAGAAATTGTTTGTCACATTAATCTTTTTACATATTGTCAAGTTCAAATGCGAAACATAGTAATCAAAACAATGGTACTCAATTAACAATCGATAAACCAACTCTCCGTCAATTTTCATTTATTTTGACATGAATGAATGAACAATGGCTTCTAGAGCGCATTGGATTACCCTCTGTTATTAAAATCGGACCGAACCAGTTATCCAACCAATAGAACTAGTGACCGGACCCCCTGTCTCCAGTCTGATGTAGGCAATAAATTGGACTGTGTTGAGAACTAGTTAAAACTAGTGGGTGACCAGTTGAACACATTTGATCGCCGGTTCTTGTGGACCAACTTACTCTACCTTTTCCCCACATTTCGTAATATTTTTTGGCTTGGCTTTTTACTTATTTTCTATTTTTTCCATTTTGATTACAGATGATATTTTAATTTCCAAAATCTTTATCCAATCAAAAAATCGTCTCCCTGAATGATTCAAGGAAGTTTTTTCTTGCTTGTTATGCTTTCCTATCTTTGTTTGTTGCATTTTGCCTTTTTATTTAAAAATATTCTTTCTAGTAGATGCATCTTCATTGTAGACGTAAATCGTACAGACAAATGCGAGAACAATTTCAAATCATAAAGGGTTAATTTCTTAATTATTTGAGCAATTTTATCTCTAAATTCTCTAGCAACTTCCCTCAAGGATTATTAAAGTGTTTTGTTTTAGAAATATGGTCCTATCTGATAATATCCTTAATCTCATTTGTTTTCTAGTTCTTAAGGGTTTTATTCAAGATGTCTACTGCTACTTATTCTAATGGTATGAGAACTAAATTTAATCTTGCTCGAGTGTATGTTTAGGAGGTAGAAGTCGAGGGAAGTGGTTGAAGAGGTGGGCCACAACATGTCATACAATTCATAATTATAGGCTTGCTAGACATATATTGCAGATGGAGTGTCCTACTGAAATTTCGTACTCAATTCACAACTCACAATTTTTTTTTTTTTGGGGAGGGGGGGGGGGGGGGGGGGGAGAATGCGTTGGGGTCGTGGCGGTAGCACCCCCACACCTTAATTACCATATTGTAGTTTTCATTCCCATTGACATCACCCTATTAATACCTTCAAAAACAAACTCCTAAACTATTTGAAATAACAGGTAAGGGCATGTCTTTCCCATTGAATTACCTAAAAAAAAAGGGTGCAGTTTGTATAGAGCTTAAGCTCTAAATAATCAAATAGAGCCTACCTTCAAATAGTGCCGAGAAATGTGGTTTCAATACTGTAAATCTTTTTGATAGCCTTAAAACATATTTTCATATTTATTTCTAAAGTTTAAAGCTTAAAAAATAGTGCAGATAGGCAAATCTATGAAAACTTGAATATCTTGAAAAATGACGGTCCAAAAATGCGTAACAAAATACACTATTTACAAAACTTGAAATCCATTTTTTTCTCATGTCTATGCATCTTGATGTCGAGATGATCAATTTGAAGATATTTGGGCATCAAAACAACCTCTTTTAGGAAAAATTTTGAGTTAGGCTCAAATTTGATTGTTTAGAACCTCGGCTGCATATAAACTTTTCCCAAAAAAAAAAAAAACTCAATTTTTTTATAAAAAATGCTCTAGCCAAGATGTAGGCTCTGAAGTACTCGGCTGCATCAATCATCTACAATTGGATACCCAAAACCAAATGAAAATCAACCAAGATATCAATTGTGTCATGAAGTGGCAGGAGCTTTTCGTCGTCCCATGGCTATTCAATCACGCAATGCCTTTTTATCGGGTATGATAATAGAACTTATAAGTTTTTTAAATGAATGTTATATTAATATTGGAATCCATAATGTTTTGCCATTAAATTGCCAATTCATTGACTCCTACTTTTACATATATGTAACTGATTGGTGGGCACATTTTGGAAGTGGCACTCCTCACCTTCAAAGAGTTGGTATTCTCATCCTTAGCTAGACTTATGATGTAGTGTAATTGGAGTATATTTGAGAATATACATACTAAGAAAAGGAACAAGGCATCAGAGATTAAATGATTTGGCAGTACTTGTTAAGTATAACATGAAGGCAAGGCAAAGGTAAGATATAATATTTCAATGAAATATTTGTCACATTATGTTAAAACTTTATTATTTATTTTGTACAACTAAAATTTGATTTTAGCATTTCACAATCAATGTATTTATGGACACTAAGCAAGATAAAATGCATGACTTAAGGAGTCCTCGAGGTGATGTAGGGAGAAATAATACCGGAATAATAAAAAATAAAACCAAAGAAGAAAAAAAAGTCGAGATAATATACCATCTCTCAAGGTCTACAAGGGAATCCATCTTAAAAACAATCTTTTCACAAGACCAAATTTACTCAATTCTCAGTCTCTAATCTTTACAATGTGTGACTCTTCCTTTAAATAGATTTTGAAGAAAATGAGTAATTAAATAAATAAAAGAACCACAAAAATTAACTCTCTCTTTCTCCCACATTTTCCTCCCTCCCTATTTTCTCTCTTTATGTCCATGTTTTTCTCTTTCTTCACGTGTCTCTCTAATCTCCTAACAACTTTTAACTCCCTCTAATTTATATCTCTTTCAATATTGGCTTTTCAATATTTCAATATTGGCTTTATTTAGATCTCCTTAAATCTCATGTTATCTTTTCTTTCTAAAAGATAATCTCTACTTATCTTAAAGATCTATTTCCTAAACTAAAAAATAGGCCTTCCCAAAGTAAATCACACACCAAACTCAAACCCACATAACTTATCTCTTCCTATCCCTACAAAAAATAAAAATAATAACACTAAATGTT